AGGCAAAGCCGGAGTTTAGGGAGTTCCGAGTGGGAAAAGTGAACGACTGACTTAAACGATTTGCGAGTGTAAGCACCCACATTCCTCACTGAGGAGGGGAGGAGAGCTGTGAGAGGACGCCTTATATCAAAGGGTTATAGTCACATGTATCCCTCTTCCATCTTCCGTGATATTCGTACCATTCGTTTTTTACTCAAATTTTAAAGGTTCCACTATCCTATGCCAATATAGTATATGGCAGAGTATCATCATGACTTATAATAAAGCGCTAAACGTCTGTCTTTTTGTGCGTGTGTGTCTGTGTGTTTGTCTGTCTGTCACGAAATTCATAGAGGCAGCTGCAGCCAAGCTATCGAGCTACAATTTTGCATAATATACCCTACCAGCATGTGGACCCACCATGCGCAAGGATGAGCCGGTTCGATAAGCGGGTTCTGCAAAAATTGCGCCTCAAACGGGTCCACCTTGCTTTTGGCGCGTAAAACTAGGTTACAAATTCAATTTTTTGCAAAGTCCTGATTTGACTGACAAGCAAATCTGCGCTCCAAGAATTCTAGCTCAAAAAGTGCTCAAAAAATTTACTTTTCCGCGAAAACAGCACCAAAAATTTGTGATCGCGTAGAGAGTAGATTTGACAATGTTTTACCCAAACATTTGAAAAGATTTTTGCATGGAAATGTAGCCCAAAATGACTATTATGTTCACAACAATTACCAAGCCAAAATAAATTCAATAATCTATTCGAATTCCTATTCATTCCTTGGCAAAAAAGTTTTCTTTCTCAAAATTACTGATCTTACATGGAGATGCTTCAAGAATGAACAGTTGTTTACGATATGTATGATGTACAGCCTCGCGCGGTGAGTTTCAAAGTCATCATTCTGGGAGCATGAATAAGGCGTACGGATAACAGAGCCAGTGCGAACCTCCGCGAGGCGGAGGTGACGCACTGGTACCCTAATAACGCGCTGAGGGTATTCACGCGTTTTTGTGTGACTGTGTATGTGAATGTCTGTCTCTCACGAAATTCATAGGAAGAGTTCCAGCCAATCTCTTGAGCCCAAATTTTGCATAGTACATCCTAGCAGCAGGAAAGTCCATTGTGCAAAAGCACAAGCGGATACGATAATTGGATCCCCTAGAAAATGCGCGTGAAACGGGTCCACTTAACTTTTGGCCAGCAAAATTGGGTCCGTATATAAACTTTTCGCAAAGTCGTGGATATGTTTGACAAGCTAATGTACAAGCCATGGACTTTAGCCCAAAAAATTCGACTAAAGTTGGTTACTATATGAAGATGGCGCCAAAAAGAATTAGTCGCGTAAATGCTCAGTTTCCAAGTTTTTACCTGATCATTTGAGAAGATTTTTGCACAGAGATGTAGCCCACGATGATTATTGCCGTTATGGCGACTACCAATCCATAAAAAGAATCTATTAAGGAGCACTAATTTGATAAGACAAATGGATTATAGTTGTGAGTTTGATAAACCCCGACTCGCAAGCGGTGATTCATCAAAGATTCGTTCTACTGAGCCTTTGCTTTTTCTTGAACACAACATGAGCAGCACTGTCGAATTAGTTTCACTCAAATTTGCATTTATTCTTCCGAGAAAAGTTTCATCCACGTGGAAATACCGATCTCACGCAAGAAAGCTCTGTAAATGAGTAGCTGTTTACGAGTAATTCGTGATAGCCTGCATAACGCGGTGAGTTTCAATGTCACTATTATGCGGGTGGTTGTCTATAAGCTGAGTTTTTCGCTGTTTCGTCACATCGTGGGTTCTCAGATAAAGGGGTAGCTTCTATAGTTGAGACCGAATATTCGAGTTCGAATAATTTATTCGAAAAATTCGACTATTCGAATATTCGAATAGTCGAATTCTTGAAAAGTATCAATATTCGAATATTCGAGTTCGAATAATTCAAAAATCACAATTCGAATAATATTCGTTCGTTCGAATAATTTTTGAAATTGGATTATTCGAAATTCGTTCATTCGAAAAAAAATTTCGTTCGTCTCAACTATAGTAGCTTCCTTGTTTGAACCCTCTTATCTCATCTCCTACTCAGTGCAAACTTTGCAAAGTTGCGCCGAGAATCTATTAAGGAGTACTAATTTGATAAGACAAATGGAATATAGTTGTGAGTTTGATAAACCCCGATTCGCAAGCGGTGATTCATCAAAGATTCGTTCTACTGAGCCTTTGCTTTTTCTTGAACACTACATGAGCAGCATTGTCGAATTAGATTCTCAGCATTCTCTACGGTGTTTTGAGCGAAAAAATTGAATGATTTTGAAGCTGAGATGTAAGGGCATAGGATAGTGCACCATTTAGTGTACGATGGAAAAGCTATTGCTGTTTCTACTTTGAAGGCGATCCAGAGAGAACTGCGACTTCAACTGAGAATTTACGCAAAGAATTGTAAATGATATCTTACACATAGTCATTGACCTTCATACAAAAGGCAAAGGTTTGAGAGTATGGCAGGATGCACTCTGTTAAGCGGTCTTCGCAGCTCCACAAGTGATGCACTTGAGAAGCTCACTAAAGCACGCCGGCGCATGGAGGCGTTAGGATAACGGCAGGCCTAGACTCTGTGGCAAACAAGGAAAGCAGCATAAAACGGTTTGCACGTCGCCATGATGTACCTCAAGTGAAAGTCCACAAAAGCTGACAGCAAAACTATTCAGAGAGCGCATTTACGAAAGAGGGTGAAGTAAAGTGGTACGCCACTACTCAAATAACCCCATTATAACGAGACTCACATCTACGCCGGGTGCCTCAAAACGCAGCCAGTTGAAGGCGAAGGGGACGTGTGCTGGATGCAGTGTACAGCACGTGAGGATTGGCCCACAAGGACTGCATAGAAGGAAAATGTCCAAAAGACGGCTTTGGGATGATTGAAAGATATATGGGGCGTCCCAGAGAATGTGCCTACTGTTTAATTGTCACTCTCTTGTCTTGGAGTCTTTGAAGGAGCTTTGGGTACCTTTTTGTAGAGCTGGCTTCAAACTATCCGGTACCTGAACGCCCAATGAGAAAGATTACCCTTCACAGAGTGAGTGTTTCATACCTCTACAGGAATGTGACAACACAAACCAACGAAAATGGGATTTCAATTAATCAATAATATCATAGAATCTCATTTTTGTGCATGACAATGCAAGAACATCGACAAAAGGAGAATCATGAATGCCTTTTCCGCATCTGCTATCAAACTTTCATTTCCTATAAGGTCCCGGACAGACTTCACGCGATTTGATCGTCGCGACTGAATCGCGACGAGACAACTGTTACGGCATCATTCCATGCCGATCAACTTGCATTTCGGTTATGATACTTTTCCAGTCCGAAATTTTTGAATGTGAAATGAAAATGAATGGAAATGTTGTCGGCGACTGAGTCGCGACGATCAAATCGCGTGAAGTCTGCCCGGGGCCTAAGGGCTCTAAGCAATATGCCTATAATGAAAGTGGTATAGGGCCTTATTTCGTGAGTTCAAGCTGGAGCTTTAGCTTTTAGGTCGAGAACCCGGTGGTTTGAAAATCGCGTATATTATCCCCTTTGTAGCAGAGTGCTATCAAATCTGTTTTATTTGAGATCTTCAATATTACGCATGTACGATACAATAAGCCATATTGTACGACCCGTATAAAACATTGTGCACATTCAATGGAGATGATTCGCACATTATAGAGTGCAATACACATAGAACACAAGATATCATTCAAAGGCATAAAAACATACCATAGACAAATGAGGAAAGTGTACCCTTTTGCACATAATGATATTTCAGGTGAAAAAAGCAGCCTAAGATGCAGGATCTAGATAGGTCAAAAAATTTGAGAGCTTTACGCGTAAGCGCAGAGCGTGTGGATTGAAAAAAGGCTCGCTAAATTTGCACCTAAACTTTTCAAAGTCATTCTCGAATCAAATTTGTTAAATTCACGATTTCACTTCAAAGCTTATGAAGATGTCATTGAAGTCGCTTTTGGTCACATCCATGGTCAGGAGTATACATCTAGCGTGAAGGATTTTAGCCCTCTAAGGAGCGATTGACTGATGATCTTCAAATGGTTAAAGGCACAATATTCTTTCGATGGTGTTTAACTGACTGTACCGCTCAATCGCTCCCCTGCATCTCCCTCCCGCTCATTTAGCGCCTGCCTTTGAAAATGATAAAAAAGACTTTTCTCAATCTCAGGAGCATTAAGCGCAGTGTTTGACTAGCACATCACAAAGATATGGCAAGAAGTGCCTCCAAGCTAGCATACTGTAAAGGTGCTAAAGGGCCATCCACCTTGTCATGGCAAGATATAACAACACTTTGAAAAGAAGTATGATGAGAACTGTAAGCACCTAAAATTAAAGGCAGTTTACAATGACTTCAATTTTTTTCTTACAAGGGAAATGTCAGAAGTCGCAGTGACCTTTTTTGGTACAAGATGGGTATGGTCTGAAGCAGCTTGAAATGCTAATTTCCAAGCAGCCTTCCTTAGCTGCAGAATGAGTAGGGTTCGGGAGTTGTGGACATCTAATCACCAAAGTCTGCACTGTTTAGAGTACTCTGCGATCATAGAAAACCCTCGGATGCTTGTTTCAGCACTACAGCATAACATTAAATAAATAGTAGAATTATATTAAGCATTTTTTTAATTGTTTATTCTATGTTTGTGTCCAAAATGCATGGGCTCTGACAGTTTTGGCTACTCTCAGCTTTGTAAATTTTTCCCGAAATAAATCCAATAAGTCCCGGCAATTTTTTCTGCGGCTGGAAAAAGCTGTTTCAAGCTGCTCAGATGATACATATATCTCGTGTCAAAGGCACTGCAACTTCTGACAATATCTTTGTTATACTAATGGATTTACGGAGTTGGAAAGAAAAGATAAAGAATGAATAAATTTCGAAAGTAGCCGTAACAGAGTACAATTCGCCCTAATCGAATTGCATTATCACAATGACGATTGTAGAGTTGATAATGACAGTTCGTCCATGTCAACCTCGCTCTCTGCTTAGGTAGTACCACCAATAAAATACTAAACATGGCGAATTAGTCCGAAAAATGTTGAAAACTCGTCCGCTCACTATTGAAAGCAGCAAACATAGCCGGGAAAGCCTTAGCGGCTATGGCATCCACTCTGGCTCCGGTTTCCAGATTGACACCAGAAGAATATCCTTGGGTATGATGACTTTCTTGTGGCTTTATGAAACCATTTTCACCTCCGCTAAAATAGATAGCATCATATTGGGGGGGGGGGGGCTAAAAGCTTACAGGTGGAAACCTACTTCATATGATACCATGCTTCGTCAGCGTTATTGTTTGCTGGATAACGCAAATTGCGGATGGAATCTGTTGGAGACTTTGGCCTAGAAACAAATTTAATGAAATGGAACTTATTTTGTGTAGAAAGTGACTTACTTTTTCAATGTGCTACCACTTTGCATTCTGTGAAGTCTTATCCTTGCCGCTCGCCGTTTTATTTCAGTTATTTTGTCCACAAATCCTACCACAGCTAATTCAACCAAAGAAAAGAAGATAAAGGCAACACAAACGAAAAACCAGAGGTCGATAGCCTGAAATTAACACTTTATACTAATCTAAACTAGCAACTCCTCTTACTAGGAAGAGCTAAAAATTTTGACCCTACCTTGACAAATGAGACTCGAGGTAGGTTTTTGACAATGTTACCGAACTGAAAAGTGAGAGCCATGAGAGAAGATACCCCTAGAGTGATGCGAGCTGGCAGTGCTCTAGTGTCAATCCAAAAAGCAATCCAAGAGATAAATACTGATAAATAAGTGGGGAGGTACATCTGGAGCACATAGTAGCCGTAAAGACGTTTGAACCTAAAAATAGATTATTCGGAGATTTTATAACTCATCAGTAGATGTTGCTACTTCAAAAATGATAATTCCAATAACAATTTTTGTACATAAAGAAATTTCGAGCAAAAATTCGCTGTGTCAAACCAAAAATTGGTTTGGTAATGTCAGTTTTACAATCACCAACCAGTTACGAATCAATCGATATATCGATCCATAGTGACTTACCGGAAAGTTACTTTCAGCTGATCCCACATTCCAGCCGTATATTCGTTCACAACTTTCCCCCAAGTGACATTATAAAATTGAAAATCTGGTAAGCGAAAATCTTCAGACGGTGGCATTGTAACAGGTGCCCATTCTTGCCAATTTAACCGCACCTCAAAATATTGACAATTGATTCCACAAAAATTATTGAGTTAATGAGCAATTGAAGGCAGTGTCCCGGCAGACTCGCACCCTGGGGATATTGCTGTGATGGGGTTCTGGTCATCCACTGACCTCCAGGGCGCAGTCCGGCTGGTTGATGTCCCTCATGGGCCGAGAAAATAGCCCTTGAACCGGCGCGCGCACCCCCTATCGGCGCGCTCGGACGACTTCGCTTACCGTTCGGCGCGGGACCCCACGACCGCACTCTTGCATTTTGCATGCTATCCAGAGCAAAAATTACAGGCAGCAGGCCGTGCCAGGGCCTCCCGGCTTTCCATTAAAATTCTCTTCCGAGCTGACTTTTGGAAACTCCCCGAAAAGGTCTTTTCACCCGTTTTAAAGCTCATGTTCGGGGTCTACGGGTCGAAAAGGTCCAAAACATGCAAAAAGATGGAAATGCAATATCTGCGGGGACACTGCCTGGACACTGGGTTGCCCGTACTTCGGGAGATCATAAAAAAGCTCACTATTCAAATACAAAATTGATGGGAGTTCAAAGAAAAGCTGATTGTTTACTAAAATCTGCACTCTACGACGAGTCAAGAGAAAACCAAATTTTTCAAAAAAAATTCGCGAATGTTCTCCTTATGAACGAGATTAAACTGCTTACCTCTGCTATATTGTACGAATACGATTCGAATACTAATGTACATTCTTGCGCATCTATAGGAAATCGTGAAAGTTCGAAACTACACGGAGCAGACACCTGCACTCGATAGTTCAGCCATACGGTACCTGAATGGAATTACGGTATGGGGATCTCTGATAATTAGTCTGAATAAGCTTACCATTGGGATATATGATCAACAAAATATTCGAAGACGGGGATTTATGCACTTGTGTGCTTTTGCTATTCACAAAACAAACATTAGGTGTCCACAGTCGTTCGCTGACATAGCTGTCCAAGGATAAGTTGGATTTGCAAGAGATGTTTCTGAAAGTAAAAGTCCAGAAATTATGACCCTAATTTCTTCCTGACGAATAGTTTTAGCTAAACCTAAACGCACTTGTATGCCAGTCGAGGATCCGTCCACACTTGACTGAACCACACATCTGCTATAAATGAGCCAGTCATTTCGGATATTGACGATATATCCTAAAAAAATTTGCAATATCAGTCCAAAGATGCCTATCAAACAACTTCAACTTTGCGAGAAAAAGGGAAATCAAGTAATTCAGGAGACTACACGTTTGCCTTCGTTCCACCAGTCGCTTTGCGTAATTTCACTACTTTTCAGACAAAATTGCATTGCAAAATTGCATTCTACTTCGTTAAATTTTTTCGCGTTATTTTTATCGTTTCGCATTGTCCCCTAAATTATAACAGCGATTCCACCTCATCAAGTTACAATGCTGTATGCAAAAGTAGTGCAATTACACAAATTGCTGGAATGAGGGTCACTGCATTATGTGAGACTACCTACCTGTACAGTCAATTCAACACTAACATCCACAGAATTGTTTGACGGAACCATCGTCTTATCATAATCCTCCAAAAGATCCTGAAAATACATTAAATGGAGAAAAAAATTGAGTGAGCGAAAATTTTGATAACACTGAGATCCATGTTTTCATCATCCGGCTTTAAGGTTCTATAGGGAAAAAAGCACTTTGTTCTACCTTGATTTTTTCTAAGATAAATCAGTTTATTTGCAGAGCCACATCACCGGCATTTGGTCCACAAAAATCTCTGGAAAAAAATGAGATGTGGTCAAACTCACTTTCATGATACTCTTCCGCTGATTTGCATTATATTCGCAGATAGGTTCGGCAGTGATAGCCTGAGCCGAGATCGCTAACATCAATAGTAAATCATGCAGCATGACATACGCACTGTAAAAACAACACTTTGAACAACTATGAGTACGAAGTATATGTCAATGGCGAATACGATGATAGTTACTGTTAGTTGGTTGATGTTGTAAAAGCAGGAAACAAATAAAGGAAGGAAATTTGAGCTGCAAGAATACATGACGAATACCTTAGAGTAAAAATGGAAAAGAACAAATAAATGCCGGAAGTTCAGAACGGAGTGCTATGAATGGAGCGAGAAGCCCGAATTATCTGCATAAAAGCCCTAGATGAGAAAGCTCACACGCACTCTTTCATCACTATATATTGTGAAAGTGACGCTGAGAGCTATATAAATTTTTCTAGTATTGTAGGGTGCAAGGAAATTGATGGGATCAACTTTGCAGAAGTGCAAAAGCAATGAGGTTTTTGGTCTTGACTCTGCAAGAAATAATAACCATCGTAGAGTGACAACCGTATATATCATAACTCAAAAAAAATCATTCTAGCGCTTCTAGATGCGTTAAAATTCAAATTTTCTAACCTAGCTAACTTAGCATATTGTCGATAGAAAATGAAGCGTTTGAGCACCTGTTTTTTATGATATATATTTTTAAAAATTTCATATTAGACATGTCGAGCAGGCTCGAAATTTCTGCTGGAAAATGCCAAAAAAATTCGAAAAAGTCCCTCGTTCATTTATCCTTATGAGCACTTTTATAGATAATTAATTTTGGAACTGATGATATGATTTAGTTTGATTCTCCAAGATGCTGCCTGCACATGCCCATGCTTGCATCTTCGTCATTTTCGTCTTAAACTATTTTGGAATTCTAGTTTACAGTATGATATCTGGAAAGAGAAGGGCAGAAGGAAATTTTTAAACTCGCAAAAAAAAACTCTGCGTTGGGCGAGCGCGCCACACTATTAGTCAACAGGATAACCCAAAATTATTTTTCGGATCAAAAGCTAGGAATTTAAGCAAGAAAACAATTTATACACAGAAGAATTGCTAATACATACTGCTAGAAACTTCCAGAAATGTGAATAGAACTCTATAGATGCGCAATAATTACACGAAAATTATGCTCCTCTGAGTTTCTACCTTTTCAAAATTCGTTACGCAGCTGATTTAAGCTGTAACTCAGAAATACATAGTGCGCTATGCACAAACTGAAACTTACTTGTAATTGGGAACAGAACAGTAAGTGAACTGTATAAATGTATCAATATTCTAATGGGTACGATGGTAGAAGCTTTGAATCTTCAGTGAACGTGGAGCAGCTTTGGTATAAAGCTAGCAAGAAGAGCTGGACAAGAATGGCTAGACTTAAGTACTAATGAATAAGTTCGTTCGTTTTGCGGTTTCAAAGCTGTAACAAATTTTTGTCCAGTGTTTGGTACCTCTGGAAAAAGCACATCAATGGGAAATGGAATATAGATTTCTGTTTGAGTAGAACTTATCTATGAAGGAAGAATCAGCAGCGAAGTGGGAAACTCCAATTTTTTCATAGTGCGCAAATATGAGGAAATTTAGTTTTTTAAAAACATTTTCAAAGTGGCGGACCACAATCTTCATTGTTATCCACTAAATAGGGAAACTCCTCTGACCAGCACCGAATTGCTGTTCTCTGCATCCTTACAGCATGAAAACGAAGATAGGAAGTCAAAGAATTGAGCTTTCGGAAATTTGGCCATGTTGAGGCATAACTGTCTTTACTAACGATGGAAAATCTTGAATATGTGATATTTGATAGTGGAAGCTTTAGACTACTTTCCTACAAAGAATCATGGGTAGAAAATCAAGAGAAGGCTAAAAAATTTTCAATCAAAATTTGCATAACCAATCTGATATTTATCTGTAAACCTCGTGAATAGGCGATAATAGAAGTGGGCTACAGAAGACATCACTAGTGTAAAGAGCTCGAAACTGACTGTGATTTGGGAATCACTGAATGCATTGTTGTGGTTGACTTTTTTTTTGAGGACTACTCAAGTACTCGTACCCAACTAGAATCAATGATGAATGCACGAACTCTTGCCAGATCTCGGATCTGAAGTGCACGAGCTTAAGGAAAGACTTCCGCAACTAGTCCTTGTTGCCAAAAATGCACTCTCCTCAACAATAGCGTATTAGGGTATCGAAGGGTGGGCAGTAGTAAACGCTAGCATTAGTGAAATGGAAACACATAAAATAGGATTCTACTCAAGATTTTACGAAGATAAGACAAAGGCAGCTAATGGATGCCTAGCTTAGTAGATGGGGATGAAAAGTGCGACAAACATAAACGTAGTGCGATGAATCTGTGACAATTTAAGGTTCTGTAGTATTTAGAGAGGTGGAAGAATCAAAAGATAAAAAGAATTGAGAAAAGAAAAAAAGAAAAAGAATCAAAAAGAAAAAGATTTTAAAAACGAATTAGAACAAAAAACTTAAACAAACAAACAACAACTCAAAAAGAATTAAAATTGACAGAGGATTACTGGCTAGAAAACTAGGGTAATTTTTGGCCACAGTAAATAGCGTAAACAGGTGAGCAGAAGAGGGTTCGCACTAGGTTTGGCTCACCGATTATTCGTGTTCTGTGCAGGACACACATGCCGAAAATTGCAGCTTACTTATAAGTAACTGTCACATATAATTTGAAAATGGATTCGAGACATCAAGTTTAGGGGCTATATTAGGGGCTGAGGATAGCTGGTCATGAAAATTAGGAAATTGCGAAACAATAAAAGATCATGAATTTTCAAAAATAAAAGCAGCAACATCAAACTTGAACCCGCTTTTAATAAAAAGTTATGATGATTCCCTATTTTTTCAATTAGTCTATAAAAATTATTGGCTTTTTAAAAAAGTTTTGGCTCCAGACGCCTCAATTGGCACACTATTTGCACATTTAGGGACGATTAAGATCATGAATTCGATATTACTGATATTTTCAGACTCATTCGAGATGTTATGAGTCAAGAAAAGCTGATTTCTCTCTAAAAATCTAGTATGCTAAGTGCGTAGTTGCTAGCTGACTATGATGACATAAAACGGGCACTGGGTTAAAGTTCAAACGGATGTTTTGCAAAGTGCTTTCATAGCTTTGCGATGGGATCAATGTTAAAAAGTGTCATAAACACATTTGGCCAATTTTAACTAATTCAAAGGACTGTTTTCGTGAAACATCAAAAAAAAGCTTTGAATATTGTTTGACAAGCAAACATAAGTGAGAATGTGCTATAAAAGAGGTGAACTCTACAGACCATCATCATCAAAAATTTTTGCTTCGTTTCTCTTGATCGCTGCGATGATTTTGCCCCAATTTTGCCCTCTAGGGCTCCTCATAATCCTAGAGAATCTCAAGGCAGAATTTTATCCATTTGGAGCACATATATAGGTCCTCAAAGAAATGCGCCTACTGTTTGATTGTTGATAACTCTCTTGTGATGAAGTCTTTCAAGAAGCTTTGAGCACCGTTTTGTAGAACTGGCTTCAACTTAGATTTACAGTATAATGCGAATCACCGATTGCCTTTTATTACTGTAGGATTACGGTAGACACCTCAAGTTATGGTGTCATTGTGAAGGAAGCTGCCGTTTCAAATTTGTCAAAAAAAATGCAAAAACTTGTGTAATAGGGTTTTTATGGACGCTGAGTCCAATACTCACCTATGTACAAGATTGCAATGCTTTCTAAATGGTGTAAAGGCATTTTTTATGAACATTGAAAAAACGGCCGCTACTGCTTAACCTTTGATTCAACTGGCTTGGCTTTGCGAAGGCGGGGCTTTGTGACCTAATTGAGGCCGCTCGCGCCCGCGACGCACCTGCGTCTCTCTCGCGCGGGTACTCTCTAATCACTAGCTAGCCTTAATTAGGTCACGGAGCCCCGCCTTCCCGAAGGTCAACTCAGTTGAATCAAATGATACTTCGCGTAACTTTTTAAAGAAACATCATGATAAGTTACGAACTTCACATTTGGAATTAGCAACTCTAATTAGCACAGCGTGAAAGTTTTCAGGCTGTTTTGTTTCATTTCTAAGGCAAAATATGGCCTTCCTGGCTCCAATCGCTCTTCGAAATTCGAAATTTCTACCGTAATCCTACTGTGTTAAGGAAAGATGGGGTATTCTTTGTATGCCATATATCTAAGTTAAAGCTAGCTCCGCAAAATAGTACCTAAAACCTCTAAAAAGACTTCATGACAAGAGAGCTGTTATAGTTGAGTGCACGGAATCGCCCGGACTAAGCGCCCGCGCGCGTGTCTCTTGCGCGCTAACATTAACATTCGCGCGCATGAGTCATCATAGCGCCCGTACTCGGCAGCCGCGTTGCACGCACGCTCGCGTGCGTTCAGCCTACGGCAACCCGGGCGATTTCGTGCAGGCGACTTTAACGACAGTCAACGACCAGTTATTAACGCATATTCTTTGAGACACATTGTATTATGATTGCGTAATTTAAATCTGCTCTTTTTGCAAAATATTCTTCAGACAGTGTCTAGCAATGTTCCCATCTTCTGCAATTTATCATCTTGAACCGACATTATATTTGAGATTAACCCCTTAATGGACAGAATGTGAAGTTGATTAACATTATGGTATTGCTACAAAATGTCCCTAACTTGATCGCTGCTGCCGACAACCTCCCCGCTGCTGTACACTCTTATCTCTTAAAGTTTCTAAATTAATAATCTATAAAAAAAACTACAGTAAATTGCTAGTGGTTTAAAGGTATATGTTGAAAGAACAATACATTTCAAAGGGATTGATAGAATGCTTCAAATTCGAAAAATTCCTTGAATCAGACCTTTTATTGATTCTATGTATTTGGCTTAATTTCAGTAAATCCGTAAAGAAATTTTTTAAGAATTTCGGTACCCGTAATATTACAGGTTCTAAAATGTTCTTTTCAAAATTAGTTTTGGTTGCGCTGGCCGTGGTTGTGTGCGCTGCAGGGAATGATGGCCTTGAAGAAGATGAGAATGAATATGAAAAGCTCAGTGAGTATGATCAAGCTGTGGAAATAATAATCGAGGAATACCAACAGGTGAGGCATTTTTTCATGTATCAAATTATACAAGAGTAGAACATTCTTTTCAGTGCATTGAGGAATGTCCTCCGAAAAAGGAGGACAAGGACAGCTACGTCAAATGTGCGATCAGCTGCTCTAACTCTACTCAAGTAAAGTTTGAAAAATTGAGACCGTTCGAATAAGGGAAACATTCATTGATTTAGATTAGATTTATGAGTGATAAAGATTTTATTTGCTCCAGCTGATTATTCTTAGTTAGTCCTATTTTATCGTATGCGGAAAGTCGGATCTTGGCATGAGCCAAAGTTTACGAAACTTTAAGAACGATTTGTGGTACTTCAAGATTAAAAGCATGCATTTACTGCGATCAAAATCAAAAGTTTATGGTCAGAACGGAACGTCAGCCAATCTAGAAATATATGATATCAAACCCAATTTTTTTAGCTTATGTAGCTCTACACCCCCATGCGGCTGGTATTTACACTAACAAAAAAGAAGTAGAAGTCGAGTTTAGGATTGTATTAGGAGCAGTGATTGCCAGAGATCTATAGTGAAGTTTAGACTCATATTGTAGCGTGCATGATAGATCAAGCAAAGTATGGAAGTGTCCAGTTTTTCAAAAACATGAAGTACAACATCGATTCAATTAACCGCAAATGCTCGTCATTGATATTTCTGATATTCAAATGGACTTTCAGATGATCCTTGTTGATATGAAAGTTTCAGATGTAAGGCTTACAAGGCTTACATTGCTATAACTTACACAAGGACTTTGAGTTTCTCGAATATTGAAACGGAGAGAACTTCCCCAACTACTTTGCTTGAGAAACCTTCCTTGTAGAAAATAACTGCTCGCTTAGGAATTGCTGCTAGAAATGAATTGTAAATGTAAAAAGACATCCGACAAGACGTTAAACATCCGATCACGCATTAAACGTTAAACATAATAAACATAATTGGTCTACAAATCTCTTCTTTTTTTACTCAAAACCTTGAAATACATCGAAAAAGAAAGTTTCGTCGGTCTTAGTATTATACGGAATTGAAGAACTACAAATTTTTCTGTGCCACGCAGTTTGTGCTAACGGTGATATCCTGACCACATGCCAGAGCAAGATTCAGATAAGGGGACCTTTAAAATGAAAGCAAAGTTATCCACCCAAAACTCAAAACGAAAGATACTTCATGTTATAGGCTACAATCCTAATTATTCTAGAATATGTGCTGAATGAGATGCTCTCAGAAGAGTATCAATGAGCACAAATTCCATGACCATCGGCGCTTTTCGTAGAAATGTGTGAGAGAGCATCGTGCAACGTAACGGATGCTGACTGGCGGCTATTTAGAGTCGGTCAAGCATGACAAATGATAATGGGAAGGAAAACATGGGGACGTATCGGGATCGAGTAAATTCAGCGAATAAAAAGTCCAGCATGGGCATTTAGAAATTTACAAATGACCAATGAACAGTCAAAGTTTGGTATATAAGCGTTCTGCAATATTTATTAATGTCAAGTATTACACACTTGAGCGGTATGAGATAATTCATCAATTTAATTCAATAATTTGAAATACTTTCGAGACTAGTAATGAAAAATTCTGTAGTTCATCTGGTAAACGCCTTTAAATACATTGGTCGTCCCAAAATAGCATAGTTTCCTTTTGTGTAGCTTCAGTTCCTCTATTTTTGCAGAGGCAAGTCTTTAATTAGTACAATACAGAATTTTCAAGTTTGAACCCTAGAGAATTCTAGCTGACGAAATATACACAAGGGAGGAAGAACTCTATGACGCGATATAATCCATAAGTTTCGAGTTTTTTTTTTCGCAGCATTAAGAGAGTTATTACTTTCATAAATTGCTCACGAGACTCATTCCCTACTTCTGTCACTAGGGTATCAATTCCCATAAACCATAAATTTTTAGAACGATCACATATTATGCAGCTGAGACATTAAAAGTTTTGTTGTGTAAATTCATGAAGACTCAAAAAAAATCATGACGATAGCGCATAAATAGTGAAGGAGATCTCAAAGAACAAAATTATGCCGAAATTTCTAAAATCAGAGTATCAAAAAAAGGACCAAAAGACCTTGCAATCAGCACTAAAAACATGGGAACTTTTGAAATTACTGCGTATGATGAAGCTGTTACGTTATATCAGCAGAATTATACAAAAGAATCAACCAAAAAAAGGTTAAAACTCTTGTAATACGCCAACTTTTTCATAAAAAAAGGCTCGATTTCCTGTTACAATGTTTGTCAACTTTATAAGATCATAGTAGCCGTAGTATTTTATATCTGTAGTACTTCTGAATGAGGGCTCTTCTATTAGATCGCAAAAGTATAATAGATGGCTATATAGGCAAAGGATGAAAGGATGCAGAAAGCAAAGAAAAATATCACGTTGTAAAAAATTGGGAATAATTATATCAAAAAGGTAAACAAGAAGAAGGCAGAAAGGATGGTAATGAAATGTCCTTGGTTGTTACACCATCACATCGAGTGCTTATAGTGATTTTCACCGAAGATCTCAAATATTCGAAGAAATCAAGTGGTACAACTGAGTACCTAATTCAGGCGGAAAAGGCGGTCTATTGTGACGAAACGTCGGGAATCCAAAACCTTGTTCAAAATGATTTTCTCGTGATCGCATTTTGTGATTAAGGATATTTTACAAGGATTTGAATAACCATCAAGTGTTCAGAGTTTACTTTCATTCAAAGGGTTTCCATGAAATCGGTCGGCCCGGATAATTCAACGAAAACCCTTTCTCTTTCTCTCTCTTTCTTTTTTTCGAATCCTTGTAAAATTTCTTCTTTAAATATCAAAATCCGATCACGAGAAGATCTTTTTGAACCAAATTATAAAATCCCGACGGTTTCGTCAAGTTTGATAGGAGGTCGAAGTCGTTTCGCGAATTAGGGACTTAATTGTACACATACAAGACCTGAATAAGGGTGAAAATCAAGGACTACTTATAGATTTTATAGATTAGATTTTATAGATTTTGACAGCTTTAAATAATTTTTTACATTTGTATGGTTTTTGTATGACATATTTCACTGATTTTGTTGGACTCGGGAAACGTACGATGCTCAACAAGTAATCCAAGACAAAAATAAAGTTTTTTATCGAGTCACCTACGTTTATACCGCATTTTGCAGACTTCCAGCTACTCAAAAACCATAACGATATAGAGTTTATAAATGGAAAACTAATTAAGTTATGCTTCAGCGAATGGAGTGATCATATGGTAGCTAAAGTGGTGCAAACGTGCACGTATATCTCTTATTGCTATTCTGGTTTTTGTGATAGTGGAAGACTCTATGCAGAAGCCTTTGCAATGGGTCAGAGATTGCAAAATATGCTGAATAGATATCTCAGCAGATCACAAGAATACTACTCAAACAGAATTGATAAAGGTTTGGATTTCGAATTTCTAAAGTTTTTATCCGCTTTTCAGCACACCTGATATCATTTTCTGAGCCCTTCTTATTTCTCTCCAAGACAATTTATTTTTATTTATTTATTTATTTATCCAATAGCACAAGGCGTGCCACATTTTGGACAAAGAGAAAAAAAACCTGAACAATGATAAACAGAAAACCAAAAAACATCCACCAACAGCTCAAGTCCGGCTCCCAGATGTGTTAAAAATAGAAGGGGATTAAGCTTTTTTGGATCAACGAAAATATCAGTTGAGTTGAGTATACTATCTAAAGACAGTTCAAGAAGCGTACATTCTCAAAAAATGTGATCTAAAAATCTTGGAAATTAAAAACTCGCACATTACGAGGAAAAAATGATTGAAATACAACATTGAAAGCTGGGCTTTTGACATCATTCTCTCATATTCTTCAGATTCTGCCACTCACTCATCTCAACGCATGTCACTCAGACCACTTCCTTTCTAGGAGTTGGACTTACGCTGATGTCTGCAATTACGGATTTGTCTCACAAAGATCAGAGCTTGGATGCATTGTAGACATTTGTGTATCATTTTCCTCGGATAAAAGAGGGAAGGGATTTTAGCGCCATTGTATTATATCAGCTCACCTTCTATATATTGCGATTGTCAGCATCTGATAGCAACTTCAGATGGCCCAAATTAAATACATAAAATGTGTAACATATTAATTTTATTCATAATAAGCCGTAATAAGCCTACGCACATTATAGCTATTGGTCCTTCAAAAATTTGGTGTGAGTAAATCACTGCCGGTAAAAAATAATCTTGAAAGACTAAGGTCCACAAATAATGGACAGAAAGACTGAAATGAAAACAGCGGCTAGCTCTCAGCTCTATTCATGCCTAGAACACTTCCCTCTTACCCAAGAGAACCATTTTTCCGATTACCCAGAAAGATAAACTACAAATCTGGCAGAGTAATAGTAGGCCTTATAAACATATATTTCGTCTAAGCCTGGAATTTGATGGAATTTGGGCCTATCAAGCACTAGACTGCCTCTATAATTGCGAAGTGGATATAAATTTGCCCTAGTGAAAGCATACAGTAGGCCTTTTCTTCATCTTGCTCATCTATCATTTTTCAATAATAAAAAACTCAGGAAATGAACTGAAATGGACTGAACTCCTTTTTATTTCCTAAATCAGGGAAGCCAAAAAAATCTGAGATTTAAAAGTAAAAGAGATGGCGTGGCTCATGCAGCAAGTTCTTTGGAGTTCTTTTTTAACATAAAACATTATGTGGCGCTTCTCTACTGAGTTTTTTGAGTTCTCGGAAAGCTGGGATACACTAAAATCAAGAAGAATTGAAAAACAACTTCACGCTATCATTCAACCAATTTTAAAAGAAAAAAATATGATCACGTCGAGTTCCACACGTTCTAGGGAACCTTATGACAAAGGTTTACTGATTTAGAACCTCAGAAGTGCCAACCGCGGGCTACATTCTTGGCCGGAAGGTAATTTTACCACCTTTGAGTGTTCATATATTCAATAGTCGGCGAAGGCTCTTAGAGTAAAAGTGCTTGTACTCTTGCATGGAGAATGCGCTACTCTTAATGTAAATATAATAGTATAGGGAGAGAACTAGCAATTTGCGAAACGTAAAGGAAAGAATTATGATTAAGCAAATTGTTGATATCTTTTTCGCAATATGTGAAAATCGCTATTTGGAGAAAACCGGATAAATTTATAGATTCACGTTTGGATTTCCACCATAAAATGCTAAACTTTAGCGAAAAACTTTCTGCATTAGATTAGTGATCAAACATTGCAAAACTTATTAATGTCCTCTACACAAATCGTTTATGCATGCCTAAGTGGAAGAGACTTCAAAATGAATAGTTTACTATACGCTCTATCAATAAAACGAAAATTCCGAAAACCTCTGAGAAAGCTTGATTCAAGAGCATCTCTCTTGAAAGCATTTTCTCTAACTTCAAGGTTTTGGTTATCTATCAGATCCTAGTAAAAGCCATTCGGCTTGAACCAATGCTCTCACCCAGTTAAGCAATAACAACTTTAGAATAGTATAAAAAAGAGATCATAACGCTCTAAGCTTATATGACAGTTCTTATGATAGTTCTTGAAGCAGATCAGCATTCAAATTTCGTTTTTCAGCCCACAAAAAGCTTCATCGAGAGGAAAATATAATCTAAAACAGTATCAAAAAATTGATTCTATGCTCATAATAGATAATTACATTAAAACAAGAGGAAAACTTTCTATGAAAGCTGCTTCGGGCTATTGTAGCAAGTATTTGCGTGAATTTTTCTTAGAGTATCTCAAAGGTGGGCTATACAGATCTTTTATTGAATTTGTGAGATTTGTGACATTCAACGCTCAAGATATCAAAACATACATTCTTTTTTCCTCTGATCTTGACCTCTTTAGGCAAAGATCACCAAGGTTGTGAATAGTGAAAACAGCTACATAGAGCAGCCAGAGGGACCAAAGGCGACAAAGTGTGGAGATGAATACCAGTCCATCCAAGCGAATGACACCTTTGTTGTATGCTATCCTTCAAAAGAGATGGCTCTATCGCCTAAACTAGTTCAAGGCTGAATAACTCATCTACGTAAATTTCAAATGGCCTTCTAGTTTTCAAAAAAAAATGTTTCGACAGAGAAGAATTTTCACTGTAGCGACCGTACATTAGGTTAGTTCTCGAATTAGTAAATTTTGGACAAGCATGTTTCTTTCATACCGTTAAAGGCAGCGTCCCGACAAATTGATCGGTATCGGGATTTTGAAGCGTTGGAGTGGCAGGTCCTTCAACTAATCTATCAGTGAAGTCTGGAGCGAAAAAGCACGTAAGGGAAAACTTGAAATCAACTTTATAACATTTCCGTACCCCGCGCCTTCGTTTCGCACTCCGCCCACTTACACCCATTTTTCAGTGAATGCGGATATGGAAAACTTCGAAAAAACTCATTTTCGTCATTTCCGTTGCTGTAAAGCCCAGATACGGGTTCAGAATGGCGAGAAGGCTCCGAAAAGGTGAAAAACCGGAGAGCGAAATTTTGCAGGGACACTGCCAGGGAAACGAGCTATGATGGAATGGATTTTTCATGGTTTTACTCTCCATCAATAATAAGACTTTGACATCGTACAAAATTCCTACTTTGACTGCTATTTCCTCTCCCGAGTGACTTAGGAAACATATAGAAGGCAAATGCTCAGGATTCACTGAGAACTAAAAACGAAAAATAATAACTTCAAAAGAAGTGCGTACTAAAGATGGTCAAAATTATGCTCAGTATGCTCAAAAGAGCATCGCCAGCGCTCTCAGTAAAAACAGTTAGCATACAAGAATATACAATAAATGTTACAAAGCGGTAACAACATTATGAGGACTATTTACGGAAAATGAGGAAACGAAAAAGGCATGATTAGATGTATTTATGTCATCATATGAGCTCAACGAGCTCTCAAAAAATTACCGAAACTTGCGACCCATGCCTTTCGCCATGGTCAAGTTCGGCTATTTTTCTAAATTTTCGTACCTATTCTCCGAAGAAGCACTAGTGACTGGTAGATAGAGCAAACCATAGAGCAGAGAGTAATCTTTTCTTTTCTTTAGCTTGCTTCTTAAGGTTACTGGAATCAATTTTTCAATGCTATCAAATTCCATATCTGGTCAACTCAAACTTCACAGAGCAACAACCGGCAAGCAACTCGGGTGTCATTCGACGCAGCTTTTCCTCGTCTTTCTACCACTTGTTTTTTATTCCTGACTCATTGGGTTTTCCGGGACAAAATCATCATAATTCAGGTTTTTTAGGGCGACCCAGGCTGTACCCGAAATTTCCGAAAATTGCTAATATGGAGCAGTAAACGCTCATTTGCTTTGTAAAATTAGCGTCAAGCCATAAACCATCTTTGAAGGTTTCGAAATCCGAAGATTTATTGGTGTTTGCAGCATTTATGTCTAAGACGAGTCTGCTAAAGTTCGGTCGTTCCGTCGAAAAATCTGTACAAAAATTATGACGAGCTCTGGAAAGTAGAAAAAATTGTGCTGTTTCCTGTCGGGATTGCTCTATCCATCCATTACTTGGACTCCTTCAGAGGGTTGTTATAAAAATTTAGAAAAATTGGGAAACTTGGTCTTCTCAAAAAGCATGGGTCGCAGATTTTGATAGTTTTTCGAGAGGTTATTGAATTTTGCGCAATGTTTATATAACCGTTAGAAAGAGAATGAAATGCTGCATCGAGTGCTACCAGAATCTCTTACAAATCTTTGTTCCACGAGATGTGGCAACGTTTGAAAAAAGCGACATTACTTTCGGAACGACCTAATATACAATTAATGTATTAATGTATTAATGTATTAATAGGAAGATTAGACAAAATTGTCATTCATAAATGAACGTAAGATGATAAATTTGTCTTCTTGTGGAGAGAGAAACGTTGTCCTTGAGAAAAGCTGAAAGTTACTGAAAGTGTTCCGTAGAAATCATTATTATGATTATTCTTTTATAAATGAAGAAAATTTAAAAGCAGTATTGATCTTATGGCCCTAAAAAGGAAAATATCCTCAAAAACCGTAGGTGTACGCCCTTTATGCTTGATAAAATGCTAGACATAAAGTTTAAACCTTTTTTTGAGCTTTGTGATTTTTTGTGCCCTAAGTATGCTCGTTTAGAAAAACTATCCGGCTTTATCCAGCTCCTTGCGCATAATTCGCTTTTTATAGTGCTCAAGAAATGTAGCTTGCTAGGCACCAAATCCGAGAAGGTAGAAAACATTTTGCAGGTTGCCTTGGGTAGTATTGCATAGGAGAATTCATAAAAAAGCAAAGGGAATAAAAAAATTACTTGCAAGTTATAAAGTTACCTTTGGCAAAAAGAAAAAAAGATGTGGCAATGTTTTTGCCCAAACACATGTCATGCACAAATCAGTGGCTATGCGTGAGATAGCAAAATCATTCAGGAACAGGGTCAAATAAACATCAATTATATGGTAATCACATTATTTACAAGGAAAAAACTGAGACAGTGAGATTGAAGAGTAGCCCCTGTCATCAGATGAAGAAGAAAGAAGGTGTAACGGATGCCAACAATATTTTTATTCAGCTCGTCTAATTGCATATCAAAACTCAGAGATTATCACTATCAACCAGCGGCGGTCGAAGGATTTCCGTTAAGGGGGGGGGGGGACAAAGTTTCTTCTCAAGTAAAGGTGCTGGCATTGGCCACGCACTCCGGAATATCTTTTGAGGTGATTTTCAAAATTTTTGCGCGCTCATCCCCGAAAAAAATTTTTACAAGGCTAATATGAATTTTTTTGAAACATATTTTGTATAAATATAAACAAGTCGCCTGCACGTATTTAGAACCCATGTAATAACTTTCAAAAAGTTCGCGACTCATTACCCCCCCCCCCCCCGCCCCTTCCTCGGTCCGCTATTCCTACTAACATGTCTTACAAGTATTTTTGCTGTGGTAATTTCAATTGTTTATTTTATTTTCGCATCAAAGTAAGTAAAATTTCAGACGTAGTCGCATCTCACTCCTCATTTTTGCACCATTGCATTTATCCATTCACTCAAATACCTAATAGATTGCCATTCCAACTCCGTGCGATTATTGCTCCTGTATCATACATAAAACTCACACCCTATACCTTCACCTTCATTTTCCTCGACTAAGGGTCTTGAAAGTGGTATCCATGTAAATCTACCTAGCTTTTTAGGACGTCTTAACTAAACATTACAAAAACGCTAACTCATACCCTTTACCCATTCGCGTTAGAGGAATCCGTTTCAAACTCCTACCCACTACCGTAACTTTTCAACACCATTTATCAGTCTTTGAGTACGGTACTGCAGGAGCTTATATTCGAATTAAAGGCTAGCGCTTGAGCAATAGTTCGCTTGAGAACTTTACAGCTGCTGACACAAAGGTCCTTCATTTACGCGCGAGAATGGGTAGAAGAAGTGAGTTAGAATTCAGATGAATCTACAAATTTGAGCAAGTAGCTTGGTGTCAGTCGTGGTCAACCAAAGCAATACCTATTTGCCCACGAATGCACACAAGTTTGCAAATTCATGTGGGCGGGTAAACTTTCAAACAAGGTTGCAAATTGAAAAAAGTCGGAAAGAGTTTGAAAGAATTTCCGGCAGGTATTTGTAAAAACTTCATTCTTTGATAATTCTCATTGTGCCCCCCACCCCTAAGTCTCTCAAAAAATTTCAGATCCGCTAGGTATGCACGTAAGAATTGCATAAATCTTTTGTGAGAGTGAGTCACACAATTATGTCTTTGTTCGTATAAAAGTCGTCATTCACTCGTTTTCTGGCAAACAAGGGAGGTCCGATCAGTCAAAGTGGCCTTCCCAAATGAGTCATACACCATTTCAAAGAGGTTTAAACGTTGAATCCGAATCTGTCTTCCTTATCTGCCGAGCGCCTTTGGACGCCGAGATATGGGCGTTTTTTTGAGTTGGAAAATTGAATGCGTAATTGGAACAAAATTTGTCAAAATTGCTCAAATGGTGCACTTTTAGATTATCAAAGAACTCCGTTTGAAGAACACCTTCTGCCCATTATGGGTGTTTTTTTCACTTATACTACATACTGCTCTA